AAATGGGGCCCCACGCCAAGGCACGAGCAACTATGGAGGGCGCCTACTCGAACTGGCCGAAAGGGAAAGCAACAACAATTACACTGAGGTGATTACGAGTGGGCTGGGCTCTTTGCGATCCTTAGGTGCCGAAGTGTATGGCCGATGGAGGCATCAAGCTATCTGGTTGGTGCCAGCACTAGCATGATCGCGGACGAGGAATGACAATCCACGCATTCGACGGGGATTTGCACTTGGACTTCAACATCGATGGTGGGGGCTGCTTGGGGTGGCACTTCAACGAGCTGTAGCGCATGCCGTTCTGAACCAGTTCGCTGACCTGCCCCGCACGCAGCAAGAGCCAGCATGCTGGCTGGCTTACTTGGAGATCGTTTGATCTCCTTCCTCCTCCCCCTCGTCCTCCTCCTCCTCCTCTTCCTTTTTCGCTGCTTTGCCGCACTCTGGTGGCTTCGCTGGGCCGGTGTTTCACCCCGTTCTGGTTTCCAAGGTTGCACTTTGTAATGTGCGTGCGCTGAGGTGGTAAAAACAAAAACTAGTGGCCGTGTTTCTACCGTTGCAGAAATAGAGGTTTGGCGCGTCATGCGCGCAATAAGTCGTTGAGCGTGTGGCCGCGAATGCCAGACAACCATATATCCCGAACGTCGCCATCAACGATATCGCGTTTGAGCGATCCCAAAAAGACTCGCTTGAATTTGCAATAAGATTGAGCCAATTGTTTTTGGATAGAAGTGCCAACATATCAAATTCAACATGCCGCTGGAACTGGGCCTCGAATCGCTGTCCGCATGGATACAATAAATTTGCCGAGCCGTGTCCGTTCGGGGAATGCAATGTTAGCGGTTGCGTTCGGTTCCATTGGCTTTCCATGCCATTTGTTATTGGCTGGCCCTCTCAGGGCCGTATTTGGTTGAAATGTTTGCGGTTTCGAATTTGCGGGGAAATTGCAATTCAAATTATCTATTTGAGTTTGCCACTTCAATGAGAAATGCTCTTACGCGAGGCCGGCGTGATTCTTGTTCCTTTCTTATGGCCGCCTGGCGGGGGCGTGTATCTCAGGCCCCCGCACCATTGGCAACGCGGGAGCGTGATTCCCCGAACCATGGAGGGTGCATAATTTCATCTTCCAGGCCGAGCAGCTACGATTTCAGAATATTTGAAAGGCTTTGCCTTCCTCCTATTCTGATCAATCCGGCTAGTCAGCCCTCTGAAACCTTCATAAGCGAAGTTTGGGACGAGGCAGGCGCTTTGTACCCCCATCTCCCGAAAACTTCGGTTTTCGCTCTAGTACTTGTGCCTGACCACGGTTGGCCAGTCCAAGAGATCAGGCTCATTCTTGTCACGTCGCAGACAAGCCGCCACGCACACCAATATTCAGCCCCTAATCGACAATATCCAGTCGCCGTAGATCGTGTGGTGGTATTGGCACACTCGCGTGCTACGGATTTATTCGCATTATGCATTTTGGTCTCTCAGCGCGGCCGTTTTTCACGACATTGTCGCAAAGCCTAGCAGGCGTGGCGCTTTCTGGACACAATAGGGGGTGTGCAGGGGGTGGTCTCTCAGCGCGGCCGCTATCCACGACACTGTCGCAAAGCCTAGCAGGCGTGGCACTTTCTAGCTCAGGCCGCTCGCCTTCCCAGGGGGCGGGGTCCTCCTCCGCCTCCCCTCCTGCTGAGGTTACTCCTCCATCCCCTCCTCCTGCTGGGCCCGGAGCTCTCGATCCCGGGAGACCACTCTGCGCGGCTAAACCCGTCCGCGGGCTCGACATCCGTCGCGGGCTCGAAGGCAGCTGGCAGGCCTCCTGCCTCGCCCTCAGCCTCCGCCGCGGCCTCGAGTTCGTCGACGCGGGCCTGCAAGATCTCGGTGGTCGTGGTTGCGTTGGCGGAAATCCGCGCGACGCTCCACCCGATCTTCGCCATCTTCTCCTCGGCGGCAAGCGCGTCAGCCCTCCGCCGCCATGCCTCCTCGCGGCGGCGCGTCCGCTCCCTCTCACAGGCCCCGCGCCACTCTTCAGCGCCCGCGGTAGCCCGTGAGAGCCTGACCCGGGCCTCCTCGGCGTCGGGGAGCTGGTTGCCGCTGCTCCGCCCCAGGGCGGCGCACCGCGAACGAGTCCCACACAGCGTCCCCCTGGTGCCGAGCGCCTCAGTCGCCCAGTACATCAGGTTGCGGCTCGTCTCGGCCAGCGTGGCCTCCAAACGGCGACGCTCGCGCTCTGCTAACACCATGCAGCCGAGTAGCCAGCGCACGGCCGCCAAGGCGAGGCCAAGAGCGCCGTGAACCCGCCCGCTGCTCCCAGCCCCACCCCTGGAGCTGGCCGCCGCGCGGCTCCGCTCAACGAGAAGGTCGCGTGGCGGACCCTCCGGCTGGCCCACCGAAGGCTCGGCCTCCCTGCTTCCAGCACCGCCCACGGAGCTGGCCGCCTGGGCCCAACTCGCCCGCGACCGGCCGGCTGCCGACGGCGGCGGGCTGGTCGCGGGTGGGCGGAGCCGCAGCCGCGTCCATGGAGGTCGTGGTCGCTGTGGTGGTCGCGCTCGGGGCGGTCGAGGTAGCAGTCGTCGTCGTGGTATAGTGGTCGTGGTGGTGGCGACATCAGGGGGTTTGGCCGGCGGCCCTCGCCCCTGTCCTCCCACCGGCGCAAGCTTGGCGGGCGATCCTCGCCCCTTGCCATGCCCACCCCCGTCCGTGGGCTGAGGTTTCGGCCCGGGCTTGGGCGGCGGCGCCGGCGCGGGAGACGCTGCGTCCCCAGCGCTGCCAAGAGGCCACCACCCCACCCCCTCGCCGCCTGGGCCAAGAAAATCCCGCCCACCACCAATATCACAGCGTGCGCCCCGAAGAAGCCCATGCCATGGCACCGCCGACCCGCACACACCCGCCGAAAGGCTACTGGTGCAGGCGCATCCGCACACCCGCCCCGAGGCTGGTGGTGCCAGGACGCTGCGTTTTTGGCCGCCCCGCGGCCCCCCGGGACACCCGAGCACCGGCCCGAATTCGGGCCAACGGCTACGGACACAAAACGGCTATGGCAAAGCCCCCACTTCCCTACATTTAACCTGCAGTCTACCAACAAACCAGACTATACAAAATCTCAGGGTCCGCGGCACTGGTCCAAGGCCTTCGCAATAAGACTAATACGCTGAAAGATCTTACAGGTTTGTCGAGCTTGTCCGTGGCGGTCGTCTCCTGGCGCCTCTCGTGGAACCCCTCGTGGGCCTCTTGGTGGCGTCTTCGGCCAGACTGAGTGCTTCCTGGCACAGCCCTGGTGCTGAGCGCAGGGCTGAACCCAAACTGTGGTTTTTGTTTTCGTTTTGTTTTCGTTTTCCCTCGCTTTTGTCTCGAATGGCAGTCGAAACGAAAACGGCCCACGAAATCATCAACAACACCATTTAGGTCCAGCCCTGCCCGAGCGCTCTCTCGGCGCACGCTTGAGCCGCATCTGACCCTTCCGGAAAGGGCCGACGTGCTCACACGAGGCTCCCCGAGACCCAACCCAGTGGGTTCCAGGTCTGCTGGGGCCTGCAGGAAAGCTCGACCAGGAGGAGAGGAGGAGGAGGAGGAGGAGGAGGAGGAGGAGGAGGAGGAGCAGGAGGAGCAGGAGGAGGAGGAGGAGGAGGAGGAGGAGGAGGAGGAGGAGGAGGAGGCAGCCGTCTGTGCCCGAACAGCCGCTCGCGATGTGGGCGGCCTCGCCGCCCCCCAGACGCCCCCCAGAAGGGGCGCAGTAGGAGGAGGAAGGAGGAGGAAGGAGGAGGAAGGAGGCACTCCTCTCCCTTTCGCACGTGCCGTGCATTTTTGCCATTTCACAAGGCTCTCACCCCAACCTGACGCACCCTTTTCGCCGTCCAGCCTTTTCGCCTCTCACCAGGACGTGGAGGGGGGGGGATCGGGGAGGCAACATGGGGACGGGAGAAACAGGAACTGCCACAATGCAGGCCGCCCCTTGCGTGGCGAACAACGCACCTCAGGCCCACATCCGCTTCCCTCTCCCCTTGGCGCTACCTACTGCTTCTTCTTCTTTGCTGCTACTTTTCTTCCGCCCCCCTCAGCGGCGACGGCTGCTTGGGGAGGGAGGGCTAAGCCATATGAAGGTACCAGAGCCCGCAACATCAAACATCGATGGGGAGGAGCAGGAGGTAGAAGATGCCGCGTGAAGGCGTAGGCTGTTAACTCAGGGGGAAGAGGAGAAGAAACACTTCGAGTGAAATAATGGTGGAAACAGCTCGCTGTCGAAGCCTACAAGCGCATCGACTGGATGTTCCTCTCCTTCCGTACTTTCTTCGCCACCACTTTTTCTCTGCTGCTCTGTTGTGTTTGACTGTAGTCTTGTTTTTCCTCACGCGCACGTTCACGTGCAGAACAACCTCACATCACGTCCACAGAAACTGTTGGACATCCACGCGGACTTTTGGGTCGGCGTTGGACTGCCCTATCCTGGCAAGCGAACCGCGCCAGGGCTGCCGCCAGAGGCGCCGCCAGAGGGTCCAACGCCAACCGAAGAACTCCGCACGGACCTCCGACAGTAGACAGTAGATGCGGGTGCAGGTATTGCCATTGAAAGAAGAAAGACACGCAGGAGGTACCTATGCACCACCACCATGCCTGACCATGGCCGTCCTGGGCCATGGCATGGTGTATTCATACGCCATCCTGGCCGAAACCAACATGGTCCACACCATCCTGGGACCCGGGATGGCCTTGGCCAGGTGTGGTGGTGGTGCACTGGATCCTCGCAAGCAGGCCACCTTACAAGCTCTAAAATGGATGACTCCATTGCGTGAGGCCTTCAGGAGTTGCAGGCCTCAGGGTACAGTCATCTGCTCGACCGTATGAAATCGAATTGCCGGATCTCAGCTCACCGCTCGCCAAATCACGGCGGTGCAAACCGAAGATTCGTGTCGTGGCGATCTCGGCGATGGCCTCTGATACAGCGTGGATCTTCCAACCTTGAAAACCGCATGAGGGTCCCCACAGGGCGACGGCTGTGAAACACCTCCCGTTGCTTTTTTGTCCACGACGCGAGGGGCCTGGGACGTCTTCTGCGGGGCAGGGAGGCCCTTTGTGTCGCCGCTGCGGCCCGTAGCGCGCTGGAGGCGCCGCCGCAGCTCCGCGTCGCGCCCGCGGCGCCCACAAGACGGCTCATGGGCCACTCGCGGGGCTCGACGCCGCGCCCCGCCGGAGCGGTGGAGCTCTTTGGCGCCCACCCGTGGGGAGGAGGTGGGCCTGGCTCGGGGGGCCACCCTCCGACCGCCGACCCTCCACGGCCTCGGACAACAGCGAGGGAGCAACAATCCGACGTGCTCCCAACGGCGGCGTGTCGTTGGTACCCTTCTTCCCTCCGGGCCGACCTCCTTCGGGCATCGCTGCACCGATCCCCATCCCCACTGGTTTACCCTGCTCTGGAGTCCATTCGGGTTTCCCTGGAAACACCGGGACCACCTTGGGCCAGGGCTACTTCTGGAAATGCCCAACGGATTACGAAAGATGCTTGTTCGGACCAGAGCTCGGCCGTCAAGCGGCATCCGGGACGATTTCGCCATCCCCAAAACGCCCTCGACGAGGCGCAGCTAATGGGAACCACCCTGGGGCCCGAAACCCTTCGAACCCTGACATCCGACATCACGAACAATTGCAAAACGGTGAAAAATGACGACCCCAGCCCTCGACCCATTTTTCGAGCCGGATCGATCTGTGAGGCCCGAGACCGGGTGAAAACGTGTGGCGTGAAAGAATGCAACGCCCGGATCTCGATGAAACCTCCTGGAGACCTCCGGAACCTTCCGCGAGGAGAGAACCCCCCGAAAGCCCGGATCGGTGGGCCGGCCGGGTCGCAGCGGTGGCCTCCGACAGTTTCCCCGTCGGCAGCGGCGGCGACGTGCGCCGCTGACCCAGCAGAGGCGCGGGGTGCCAGTTCGGCGGCGGGCCGCTCTTCGGCGCCCAGTCACGCTGCAAGTAAGACGTCCAGAGTGACGGTGCAAGCCCAGAACAACTAACGACGTTGGCACTGACGTTATGGACGACGACCATGAAGGCGGCGGCGGCGACGGCGGCAACTACGACGGCGGCGGCAGCTACGACGATGTTGACGTTATCAGCGGCGATGCTTGTCGACGGCAACAACGCCAGATCTTCGGCTCCGATTTCCCCCAACCCTCCTTTTTTGCACAAGAGGAGAAGGTAGCAGAACTGCTGATCGTCCTGGAGAACCCTCGTCGCCACGGCTGGATTTGCATCGAAATTCTGGTCTGAACGCCTTGAGTTCGGATCTCGTTCTGAACAACAACTTGCTGTTCCTTCCTCGGCTGGTGCTGCAAATTGCGCAACTGGCGCCACTTCTATGAGCTCCTGTGAGGTCCAGCGGGATGACGTCCTGCGCGGAGCCATACGAGACCCCTTCTTGGATGCGCCAACTCGCAACTGTTTCCACTTTCCTGAGCTTCCAGGTCCAGCGGAGAGACGTCTCATGCAGATCCAAACGAGACCTCGCCATCCCTGGGTGCTGCCAAACGCGCATCCGTCGCCACTGTCCCGAGCTCCGGGGAGGTCCAGCGGAGTGACGTCTCATGCGGATCCAAACGAGACCTCGCCAACCTCGCTGTCCCTGGATGCTGCCAACTGCGCAAGTGTCGCCACTGTCGCGAGTTCCTACGTCGTTCAACGAAGTGCAGACACACAACAGGACCTCGCCTTTGAGAACTACCAACTTCGCAACTGTCGCCACCTCGTCCATGACCCAGGCACGGTAGCGGTATATCTTGGTCGAAGGCCACTGAAGAATCCGCCTCTGTGACTCTTGGAACGTTGATGCGTGAAGAAGCATCAAGTCTGCCTAGTTGGGTTCTGTATTTAGTCTTCGAAGTGCCCACCCTCTCATCACACCCCCTTGCATGTCCTCCCTTTCCTTCCTAAACTCGTTGGGCGGTCTGACGCTTTTTTCCAAGTTCTTTAATATGTTTATGGCAGCCCAGGAAGACCACCAAGGCAGCCAAGACCCCAACATTGCGAGGCACCCAGCAGCTCCCCAGAACACCCGTTGAGGCATTCAAGGGATAAGAGGCTGCCAGGACACTTGCGAGGCTCAGAGGCCCGCCAGGAAGACAAATATAGTTCAAAATCTTGGAGAGCCCCAAGACGGCCCCAACGCTGTCCAAAAGGGCTGCCCAATTGGGCTATGGCCCCCGAGACAGCCCAAGAGACTCCCAGGACGGTCCAGATGGGTCCAATATGGTCCCAAGGCAGCCTAGGAAAGTACCAAGACGAAAGAAACACAGCCACAAGACAGCCTAGGTAAGCGCCATAAAAATCATTCGAGGATTAAACAGGAGATGTGTCATACGTTGCGACTTTCCGGGCGGTGCTCGACACCGTTGCCACTCAGGATACTGCGCTGGCACGGCGGCGAAATTTGGCGCAGGCTCGCATCGGCAGCCACGAACGAACTCGATTGTGGATATGATAATCGCGCCGTTTACGCGTCGCTCCTTGTGCCTTCTGCGGGCACCAGCAAAGAGGAAAAAACATCGTCGAAGAAATGGGTGGGCTCTCCGACCTACGAGAAGGAATTGAAAGCTCTCTTGGACGACGTCGGGGATTTATCTTGGCGCGAACTACAAGACACCGTGAAAGCAGCCGCGCACCTACCTCTCCGGTGCGACTTGAGGAAACGACGGAGATATTGCACAGATCGCGAGGGGCGTGCCTTCCTTGTCGAAAGAAAAAACCGAGAAAACGAGGAACACTTTGCGTCGTTGGCAGACACAACGGCTGGAAGAACACCTTACGGAATTTCGGGAACTCCACCGGCTTCACAAAGTAGCTGCTGAACCCAGGCAACGCAAGATGTTGGTCAAGCCGAAACCGGAAGACTTTGCAAGGATGCTTTGGGAGTTGTATGCTTCAGACCTGACCCAGCAGACAGGGGGAGCGCAATGCTTTTGAGAGACATAGTCGACGCATTGAAAGCTCTCTCAAAGGGCAAGTGCGCTGACAAGCACGGGGTGGTTCTGAAGATGCTGGCGCAAAGGTGGCGACACCATCAAGCATATATTGTTACGCCAGTATTACGATGTGCTACAATGCGGTGGTTTCCCCAGCGACTGGAGCGAACCTGTCTTTGTGATGTTGCCGGAGACTGGAAACCTGAGGGATGCGCACAATTGGCGGCCGGTATCCATCCTCGATGTCGTTTATAAAATTTTCGCCAAGATGATTCACAAGCGACTTCTTCCCTATCTGGACCCGCAAATCTCAGATTAACAAATGGGTTTCAGGACAACTTGCGGAGTCGACGAGGCTTTGATGACCCTCGATAGCATGGTCGGTGCATCCCTGGAATGGAATCTCCCGCTTAGGGCATTCAGCGTGGACCTTCGCAGGGCCTTCGACAAACTGAAGCACAACGCCCTACTGACTCGCAGGCAGAGCTTGGGTTGCCAGACAAGTACATGTTCCTGTTGAAATGCATATATTCCGATCAGGTGGGCGTTGTCGACGGCACTTCGTTTCCGATCTGCCGTGGAGTTAGACAAGGGGACATATTAAACACTCTTCTGTTCAACGCAGCAACCGAAGTCGTCATGCGACCGTGAAGGGGCGCTTGAGTGCTGAGCATGGTTTCCAGCTTTCTGGCGACGCCTCTGACAGGCTGACGAAGGTCCGTTTCGCGGATGATCTCATACTCTTTGCGAAGTCTTTGTGCGAGGTCGAGAAGATGACCGCGCTGCTTGCGGAGGAATTCGCAAAAACTGGCCATGTGGCAAATGGATCGAAAACGAAGCTTCTGACGACGGATGTCGCAAAATCCTCTGGGTCAACGCCCCTGTTAGTAGACATCGCGAGCATGTTCGTGGAAATCATCAAAGCAAATTCTTCCCACAAGTCTCTTGGAAAATCTTTGCCGGGAGATCTGATTCTGCGGGGGCAGAGACATATTGATCATCGTCTGTCGTGTGCGTGTATGCGTTTCCATGAGCTGAACCACGCCTTGCTCAACCACAATATTCTGGCCAAGTTGCGCCTAAGATTGTTCGACGCCGTCGTCAGCCCAACAGTCACGTACAATCTTTCAACGACCCCGCTCACAATAACGCAATTGGAGAGACTCGATGGAGTACAACGGAAAATGGTGAGACGCATCGTGGGCTGGGTGACACGATGAGGAGGACTGGCATACCACAGGGCAATGCGTGAAAGAAAGATTGAATCCTGCGTGGGACAGTGTCAGCACTCGCGTGGCGGTCTGAAGCCAGGCGCGAGACAAGCAAAGGCGAAGACTGATCGAGAAGGTCGCAAAGCAGCCGGCGGGCATCGTCTGTCTCGTGTATCATTGGTCGATTCGGCCAACAGTGTCTGGTCAAGCGGCCTACAGGAGGCCGGGCCTCCTGGGGTGTCGGTGAACGGACGGCATCTGAGTGACGGCATTCGCACGCGCGCGTGTGGGTGTGTTGTAGTGTTGTGTCTTGTTGTGTTGTCTTAGGTGTGTGTGTGTGTGTGTTGTGTTGTGTTGTGTTGTTGTTCGTGTTGGGCTGTTCTGTGCTGTGGTGTGGTGTGTGTGTGTGTGTGTGTGTGTTGTGGGTGTGCTTGTGTGTTGCAAGAAACCTGTGCACGCTATTTTCCTCCCGTGTCCTGTGCAGGACCGGCCTTATGGCCGTGCGGGGTCTGCTCTGCTGCTCACATCAGTCATCATGTGTAAGCCTACGGTGGCAAGGAACGCCTTTCAAAATAACAACCCCTTCCCCAACCTGCCGGTACAAAACAGACAATCTCCCGACAATTGTTCGCCTCACGACGATCCGGCCTGCTCCGATGGCAAACTACATAGTGATCGGTTCGCGCGTGGCGGCGGACAATTCGACGTCAACTTCAGGAAATAGGACTGTCAAAGGATGGACAATCAAGAAATACATATGGACTGAATCCGCCACCGTACCCCGGGCACGTCGAGGCGTGGCAGAATGCCCAGTGCTGTCTGGTAGGGTTTCTGCAAGCAAGTCTTCTGAGGGACGCCTAACCCCTCTCCCAGCGCCCGAGGGCGTGCACCCCCCCCCTGCTCCCGAGGCTCCCTGGGCGCCCCATGGATCCCCTCGCGTCCAAGTTGCGCACAGTGACTTCCCAGACGGCCGAGGCAGGCCACCAATACCCGACTCCAAGGCAGCCCGAGATCGCCCCAGGACGGCTCAGGCCCTGGACGGACGCCAAGAGGGCCAGAAGATAACCCAGACAGGCCTCCAATGCGAACTCCGACGGCGCCAGACGACTTAAGATTCTCCAGACGCCCAAGATTCTCTAGACGCCCCGGATGAGTGCCCGAGAGACCCCAAGAGACCCTCAAGAGGCCCCCAAAAAGCCTCCAACATGGCCCCGAAAGACCCCGAATATTCTCCCCCTCTCCCTCCGCTCACTCTTTCTCCTTCTCTTTCTTCTCGTACATCCTTCTCATCCTCCTTCTCCTCCTTACTCCACTCCAACCGTCTGGCACGGTGGCTGGGCTTACCGCAAACAGGTGGATATCTTCAACTGGGTACCTACGTGGTAACACTCAACGGAGCCGACTGTTCGACCTGGGGACAGGTCATCGGAGCCGACGTCCGCCCCTAAGAACGACTCCAAATGCCAAGCCAACGCGGCCCTCGTCCAACAGAAAAGCACCGTGCTGCGTCATGGCCCCGTAACCAGTTACTTTACCCCCCTTCCCCCCCAGAAAACTGCAACCGCGGGTCAAAGCATCCTCCATACTGCGACATCTACGCCCGGATCTGGCAATGTCCTGGTCACCGATGTCCCCGCTTCTGGAGCCCTGGCTGCGACAACGTACTGGAAGATTAGACAGCGCCGTGGTGGCCAGTACAGACAACACCGTCTGGCCGAATTCTGCCCCGGCACTACTCAGCGCAGACCTGTGCAGGCAGCCGCACCGCGTGCCGACCACTCACTCGGCTTTTGTCACCTTCAGGACGGACGCAAACTTGTCATCCCTCGGGAGCCGCTTGACGCGGCTGTACGGACCTGGGCAAGGGGGGTTCCCGCGGCGCGCTGAGGAAGGATGGTGGCTGCGTGGTGACCATGATGACGGTGACGGTCCTGCTTATGACTGCAAAGGGTACATGCGGTTGAGGGCTGAGAGCAGTGCAGTCGAAGCGTGCCCACAAGAGCGTGGGTCAAGAACGCGAGGCCCTTCGCCGAAGACCCAATGCCCAACGAAGATGCTCCAAACGAAAGATATCCCAAGGTGGAGGGAGAAAAAACTGAGGACATACGGGCGCCCCTCCAGAGCTAGGGCTGTGCTCAACCCTCGTGCCAGTTGGCACGAGTAGCAACAAGAAGATCCCCCTTCCCTCTCCCCCTCAGCAGCAGCCGTGACAGAGTGAGGAGGATCCGTTGCCTCCCTCGCGCTGTCACCTCGTGGTGCAATGCGTGCGAGGGGATTGGAGGAACGCGAGCCTTCAGCATCATCAGATCACCTGACCTAGTTATTCGAGCACCACGATTACCTTCCCGCCCCTGCGGCTGCATGAAAGCCACTCACGGAGAATCTCCGCCCTCCCCCCCTCCCCCCCTCCCTCCCCAAAAGCTCACCTTGGCCCGCCGTTCGAGCTGCGTCCAGCCGTGGCGCCGGAGGCCGACCAACGGGCCAAACAGACAAACACTTTAAAAACATGCCGGCCCCGTCGGGGCAGACACGCTGCGAAACCTAGTCTCCCCGGTTCCCTGCAGCAGTTGCAACTCCTGGCGTGATTAAAGTCCGCGCGACGGAAAGGGACCCGTCAAATATCCGCCAACGGCGCGAGGAAACTGAACCCATATTGGTCCTCCTCCTGACCATCATCATCATCATCATCATCATCATCATCATCATCACCACCACCATCATCATCAGCATCATCATCACCATCATCAGCATCACCACCACCACCATCACCATCGCCGCCATCACATCACCATCGCCATCACCAGCGTCATCATCTTCACCATCAGCATCACCGTCGTCATCATTCGCATCATTAGCATCAACATCATCATCATCATCATCATCATCATCATCATCATCATCATCATCATCATCATCATCATCATCTTGATCATCATCATCATCATCATCATCATCATCATCATCATCATCATCATCATCACCATTCCCCGCATCATCAACACCAACATCATCGTACTCGTCATCACTACCATCACCATCATCGTCATCGTCATCATCAACAACATCATCTACATGCAAACACGCCTCGACCCGGAGCCGCCGGGGTATAAACGCAAGTGCGCTGAAGGACCCCTCGCGAGGTCGATTGAATTTCGGCAGACCTCCCGAGGAGGGGGGCGCGACAACTTACCGTACTTGCCAACTTCGGGCATCTCCGGGCGGGTGGGTGGGATATACCCTCAGCAGGTCCCGGGCTGCTATCATTCCAACCATACACGAGACATTCTACACATGTCGAGAGCTGCACGGGCATTCGAAAGAAAAGTGGGCCACGTGAGAACATATCTCACGGGGAAACTTCTCAGCCTGTAACTCACGGGGATACTTCTCAGCCTTATTTGTCAGGCAGCCCCGAGGACAGTCAAACCCCGACAGAGTAAGATGGGGACGGCCCGTGCGCTGGCATACTCTTCCACTGTATGTCTTCTCCACGTTCGAACGGTCGATGCGGTCTTCAAGGGAACGTGCCAATTTCTCCAAACATGCAAAATACAGGCGTCGGTCGTAGACGCCGACTGCCAGGACTTCACTATGTGCTTCATTTGTTTCAGTAAGTTGATACTGAACCTTGCGAGCTCGTTCCCAATCCGCACAGACCGCTTGCCGTCTGGATGACGCCAATCAGGGGGCCCAAGAAAATGATCGTCGCTGCAGAGGCGAAGTGGCGGTCCGGGTCGCAGGCGCTCGGGATCCCGAGTGGGTCCTCGGCCCCGAGCTTTGGGCTCAGTGCTGCGCGGGGTCGCGACATGTAGGCCCCGCGCGAGACCTGCGGTGATCCAGCCACGGATCAGGCGCTGGCTTGACCGCGAGGTCAAGTCCCCACTCGGCCCTTGCAACACGTCCCAAGCGAGAGTGTTGTAGCCCAGCTTCGCGAGCTCGGCCGAAAGCCGCCCTCAGCCACGGACGCCTGCGGTCGCAGCTGCCCGCGGCGAACGGCTGGGGACATGCGCTCGAAGGCAGTCCGCGGAGAAATCTATGATGGCCGGGCGCCAGCGGGGCGTGAGCCGGAAACGCGGGCAGGAAACGGCGCGGCTGCCCCGCGACCCGGCCTTCCAGACGGCGCCGTAGCACCGAGGCGCGCGACGTCATTCGGCCTCGGAACTTGACCTCGCCGAGAACGCGGCACCTCGACGCCTGGTCGTACGTCGGCCCGCCGGGCCGCGGCATGCGCAGCTGCAGCTCGGGCGCGCCGCAGCGGCCGGCGGCCCGGCGGAACCTGCCCGCGAGATAGACCAGGCTGAACTCGAACAGTCGCCCCCCTGGCGGCCTGGCCTGACGGGGCCAGCGCGGCTCTGCGTCAAGCAGCGCCTCGAAACCCGGCGCGTCCACCGCCGCGAACTCATCGACCTGGCGCGTCATGTTCGGCACTGTGATCAGAAACGGGGAGAGCATCAGCGACCAGTCCTGGTGGAGGTCGCCCTCAGGGCGGCGCCGCCATCTCCCGAGCCAGCTTAAAGTCCCCCCCGTGGCTGAAGTGGGCGAGGAGGGCCGGCGCCGCGAACGTGCGCAGCGCTAGCCTCTCGTCCAGAGGGCCCTCAAGGGGGCCGCCGCGGCGCGGGCGGGCCCGCGGCCTCCGCGTCTCCGCCTCCGGGGGGGCCCGCCGCCAGCGCGGGCGCCGCGCGCCCGCTGCCCTCTGGAGCAACTGCGCCCGGGCCAGCTGGCCGGCGTGCTCGGGCAGGGGCCGAGCCTCGCCGCTCGGCGCCCTCTGGGCGGCAGCCCGCCCGCGGGGGCCGCGGCTCTGGGGCGCCGCCGCCGCGCGGGCGCTCGGGGGGCCGACGTCGCCGCGCGGGGGCACCTGCGACCGCGGTGCCGATGGCGCCCAGCTCTCTGACCTCGGCTGCCACCTGCTGGCCGCCCCGACGTCGGCTGGCGCCCCCGCCGCCCCGCTCGGGCCAGCGGCCGCCCATGCCTGCGTCGGCTTTGCAGGAGAAGCCGAGCCCAACAAACGTCGGGGTTCACCGCCGCGAGGGGGCGCCAGCTGGGCCCCATCGGACAGCAGCCATCGGAGCCCCGGCGTGACCCGCCCGGCGAGGCACCGGGCCGCCCGCTGCCGGGGCGCCCGCAGCAGGACGTGGACGAGCGGCCTTTGGATAGAGCCAAAACGGACGAGAAGTTGTCGGACAACAAATGGCCGACCAGTGGTAAGTGGGGGAGTTGTGGTCCTTACCCCTCTGGGGTACCCATCAGATCCAAGCTTTGCTCTCCTGGTGCCCCCACTCTCTCGATGAGCGCGACCAGCGCGTCGGCCATCGCGACAGGGGTCGTTGCTCACGCAGCGAGCGGGACATATTGAACTGAGCCATCACGCGGTTTGTTGGGCGCGGCTCGCACAAATTAACATAAATTGCCCGCCTAGCTGCGTCGCGCACGCCGCGCCAAACGAGTGCCTCCACAGCGCAGGCGCGATTGCATGTTATCGGCGCGCACGTGCCAGCGTCAGACGGCAATTCGCTCGCGATTCCGAGTGGCGCGGGCGATCGCCTGAACTTAGTTGCCATCGGCTTCGCAAGCTCGGTTCAGCATGCGCTCCAGTCCGTGCAATTCCGCCCCGATTCGTAGCGCCTGGGTGCGGAGCGCTACCGCCAGGTCCGCCAGGGCCTGCAGCCGCGTTGCTAGAACCTCGTTTCGCGGGAACTTGGTTACACAAGTTGGCAACTCATCCGCAATCTTTCTCGGCGCATTCTATGCTTGCGAAGTTCGCGCGCGGGGGAATTTCCCGATCGGTGACTCGCGCGCTGCCAAGGCAATGCCAGATGAATATGTGCCTCTGTGCTGCGCGGAAGCGCGCTCGCTGGGCTGCGCAGGCGCGATCAGGGAGAGCGTTGAACGCGCTGTGTGCGTAGGAACTTGGCGCGGTAGCTAGTGTCGAATCGGGGGGTGATCGTTCTGCCTGTTTCTCCGCCTTCGGGCAGCGTCTGCCTTCGGCCAGGGGTCTCCGTGTATGACGGCCAGAAGTTGGGGGCGCGTAAGCCGTCAAACGGCATGGGGCATGTGGGCGCCCTGGCCCGTTGCCACTGGGCGGCGGGCATTGGCGTGGGATGCGGCCCGGTCAGCTGCGTCGGGGCTTTCGGGCCCCCGCCGGACAGGGCGCCGCCAGGGGGGGGGGCGATGATTCGGAGGCGGGCGCGTGTCCCAGAGGGCCCCGAACATATCCGTGCAAGCTTGTTGCAGGCACCGCCGCGGTAGCCTCACCTAGTAGTGTCCCCCTTGAACGATGCTGCCCCTGGTCTTCGCGACAAGGCCGCAGAGGCGGAAACAGTCCGGCCCCCTTTCGACATGCCGGGAAGTGTTCCTCTGGGGGACGAAAAAGCATACCTGGTAGTGTTCCTCTAGCAGACGAAGAAAGCTTACCTAGTAGTGTTCCGCTAGTGGAGAAAACAACTGCCACTTTGGAAGACCCCCGGGGGGGGGGGCACGAGCCACTTTGGCGGAAGAAAAATTAGACGCGCAAGGGTTGCACGGACAACTTTGGGCGGCCGAGCGCCACCCCCTGGCCCCCCCATCCTCGCGTGCCGTCGCTGCGGAGGACCAGCGCGCCCTGCGGTCCCGCGAGGGCGTGTCTGGCATGCCCGTTCCTCATCTTCCTCTTCCCTGTCCTCCCGCTCCTCCTCCATTGCTTACGCGCCGCTCCCCCTTCTCTCCGCGTCGCCTCTATCATTCTCACCACCTACGTCGATGTCCTTTCCTCGAACCCCTCCTCCACCCCTGCTCTGCATTCTCGCTGTCGTCGTCTCCCGCGTGGTCAGGGTTGGAAGGGGGAAGTTCGTAGCGCGGCGCGCGCTCGCCCCGAATCTTC